TTAAGGTCAATGACATCATTTTCTGTATTGATTATATAATTTTAATATACACGTTTATACATCATTTCATTATTTTTTGTAACATGCAAAACTTTAATTTTTTAGTTATTTGAAAAGCATATCACATTTTTATCTTTATTGTCTAAATACAATTATGTAAGGTTAGATAATCAAATTATAAAAAAAAAAAAGAAAATTAAAATTAATCGTGTTAATTTTTTGTGATGATTTTTGAATTAAATTGTTTAATATTATCAAAAAATGACAATAAATTACTATTTTATCTCTAAAAATAAAGTTTCAAATATTACTGTTAACCATTATATTTATAGTAGTAAACTCATTCCATTAAGCAATTTATTAATTTTTTTTGAGTTGCAATCACCAAACTTTTTTTAATGATATAAAATTTCGAATAAAAGGGACATAAGGGCTAATGTTTCGGGAAAAAAAAAAATTAACCTAATTGTCATGGGTTGTCATGAAAAACATCTTCAATTCTTGCCTCGTAGCTTTTGATGCCATTAACGTAAGTTTGTTGTAATTGTTCCGGAGAGCCACTCACTGGGGGGAGTTGTTGATAAGAATATCTATAATTTTAATTTTGAGACCAAAAATCATCACTTTATTCGTATAACTCTTGTCAGGCTTGGATACCAAAAAATTTGTTATTAATTTTTTCTCAAAGAATGTGGTATTAGGGACTTGCCAAAGAACTCATAAAGTATCAAAGAGATTATAATCTAGTTACTTAAATATAAATTGTTTTCTCTTTACAAGATATTTTTAATCAATCATTTAATTATGTTAACAATGAAAAAGACATGATATTAATTCATAGGAATAACTTGGCACCATAATTTTTTAGAGTTACAACAATATGTGAATTATTTCCACTATATTCCTTCACCTATTAAAATTGAGAACACATCATGAGATAAATGTCATAGTGCAAGTATATTATGGATAAATAGCCAAAAAAATAAGTTTAACTTCTATAAAATTTGAAGTATTCACATCATGCCCAATTAAAACTGCACTTTTCGTATTCAAAAAATAACTTATAAATAGATTTATATGAGAATTTATAATTATTATCCATTCTCCAGTAAGGTTAATCTAACATATCAATAATATATCTAAATTATATAAGGATATCATGAATGATATTTCTATATAGGTTAATAGTTAAGAAGATTGAACTCCATGATGTATTTTCATCCATAAAAGTTGCAACTTTGACATTGTCAACTCGACCTCTCTACTAGTTCTCTTAACTTTACATATGATAATTTTTTTCACGATATGTTTTGACATTCGGATTCATATAAGATAACTTTTAAAATACTAAAGATGACTAAGAAATAAATAACATCTTAGTCTTTAATATTAAGAAATACTAGGAAATTGTTATTTTTTTTTTCTTTAAAAAATTTTGTGATTTTACTCAATTTATACAAATATAATAACTAATAATAACAAGTTATTTGAACCCGAATTAAGCTTATAAATACTATAAATATAGAAGAAATAATTAAATTTAAATTAATTATCACTTACTAGCTCTCATATATTTATTTATAAGGGTTAATTCAGTTTAAAAGAAGACACACTACTTACTTAATTATCTGAATTAATTATTATAAAAAATATTAAAGAAAACAAATATTTCAAAAAAAAAAAATTAGAAGAGATTATGTTTTTAAAATTATTTTTAAATAATTTAGTATTGACATGTGAAAAGTGACTTGCCAGATAGCTCCACATGCATATATTTAGTTGAAGTGTTTATGCACTTAGCTTTGATGACACAAGTGTATTGGCTCTATTTGGCAATCTTTTTTTTTTTAATTTTAATTTTTTTTACAAAGTACAATTTTTAATTATTTTCCTAAAAATATTTAATTAACAACATAAATTTGACTTCTATAGGAAAATAATTAGGTGAATGTTTTCTTAAAAGTAGTGAAATTTGCACTTAAGGGAAAGAAATAATAATCATATTTAATAACTTTTTAAGCTTTTAGTACTCAAAAGACTGCTTAAAATAATTAACATCTCTAATTATAGGTCAACGTAAGTAATAAAATTCATAATTAGTCTTTTCTTTTTTTGATTTTTTTTTAAAAAAAAGAAATGGTAATGATTAAACACAAAGAACAAACTATCTCCATCCATTTATTTATTTATTTTGCATAAATAATTTATTCAGGATTAAAAAAAAAAAGATTTAGTCAATTTATCGTTATTTTGTTTCAATACCTCTAATCACAGAGAGACAAAGAAAAGAAAATATTTGAGAACCAATAAAAACAATTTTGTCTTTTTAGGTGGCGTCCATTGAATTTTTTAGGTGGCGTCCAAAACGGCGTAGTTTACTTCAATTTAAATTAATAATATACAAAACCTCTGATTAGCTTCACCTAATTACTCCTTTTAATTATAAGCAATTCACACTCAACTCTGGGCTGACACCGCTCTTGTCACGAGATAGAGAAAATAGTAAAATGTCGCGAGAATTCCAAATCCATTTCTGGACCGGATCCCAAATAATTAAAAAAAATATAATAAAAAAGAAGCAACTGCTCAACTGCGGGAAGTGAGAAGAGTGAGATATACTTGGCATATATAAAAGGCAAAAGCTTCGACTTTTCAACCAACACCAAAAGAAAGACAGTAGAAAAAAAAGTGAAAGGGAAACCAAACCGTATGGGGTATCAAATTCATGAAGACAACTTTCTCTTCTTGTTATTCTCCTCAGTTTCTTCTTCACCGAGAATTGCGGTCTCTCTCTAGGGTTTACTCATTCTACAATTCTCAAGGTACTCTTTCTCTAAACCTCTTTAATTCAACTCTCTAGAAATATCGGCTTTGGTTAACATGTGTTTAATTATCCTAATTTAGGGTTTTATGAAGTTATTTTTGTTAGTCTGGTTTGGCGAGTGTCATTTTGTTATTTGTTTGTTTGTTTTCTAAAACTTTTGCTGTTGCGTGCTTTTGTTGCTACTTGTTTTGCTGTTAAGATTGGCGTTTGTTTGTATCTCCTTTTTGGTTGGCGAGAAAATGTTGGAAAAAGGTGATGAATTTTTTGTGTTGGTCTGAATTGCATCTTTATTGTAAAATTTCGTGTTTTTGGATCCGTATTTGTGTTTGAATTGCTCTGAACTGATTATTTTGCTGAGTCCTCCCTTACTCGAGCTGCAATTGGTTATGCTCTTTAATTGAGGTTGAGTTATTGAGTATTGAATCTTTGATGGAATAGTCTTTGAATTGGTGAATCTCTTACCAATAATTCGCTTTAGGCTGTTGCAGATCATTGTTTTCTTGTACTGTATTGCTTTGAATCAGTTGAGCACCACATTCTTCTTTGTTTAGTAAGCTTTAGTTGCATTGAGTTCTCTCCAGTTTTTGGTTGGCCAGAAAATGGAGAGAAAGGGATGTAAATGAATTTCTTACTTGTTTTCAGCAAAAAAAATTTCAGGTGCTGTTTGCAGTACGGTTGGAGAATATAGAAACTAGGAATAATCGTGTAGAATTTGCAAGCTGTATTTGTTAAGATCCTACTGTTAATTAAAAACTGTTAGTAAGACGTTAATAATGTTGAAGTTGCAGCTCTCTGACATACAGTTCCACATGCAGCTGGAGAAAACCTAAGAAATGTTTCTCACCAAAAATCTTATTAGGTTAGTTTCATCATCCAGTTTTGTTCTCATGAGTCAGACCTGTGCTCTATCACTAACTCGAGAATTTTACTATCGCCTCATTCAATGACCATAGTTTATTGCAAAAGGTATCCAGAATTTTTTCGGTTCTCTTTTTTTTATCTGCTTTCAAATAATGTATAACATCTCATTCTGTCATTTTATTTCATGCATAGACTGTAAATATCAGATGTGTATTTAGAATGTTATATAAATCAGTTTAAGTCGGTAACATAGTATTCCAAAAAAAGTTTAAGTTGGTAATATCTCTTGTCTGGTTGTAGCTTTAGAATATGTTGGGTTTTTTTTTTTTTTAAATTTACAGTACATGATGGTATACATGAATGTTATTCGCAAAATGAGAAATTGATAAATATATATTTTTTTAAATATAGAATGTGCACTGAATAGTGCTTGTTCAGAAGGTGCGGTTATTACGAAATAAAATTGCTAACAGATGGAGGCTGTGAGATCTTGGTTCAACAAGTTGAAACCAAAAGATAAGTTAAAGTCTTCAAATAAGAAGGAAACTATGGGCAGTGGGAAGGAGGGGCCCAAAACACAAACAAGTGAAGAAACACCATCAACAGTGACCAAGCAGAAGGTTGCAGCTGCAAAACAATACATCGAAGATCATTACAAGAAGCAAATGAAAAATCTCCAAGAAAGGAAAGAGCGGTATGACTACTATATCCATTTCTCAAGTTGCTTGCTCAAAATATCTAGTGGTTATATTATGATATTTTTGTGTTCTACATGTATCCACTACCACTAAGTCTTAAACAACTTTATTATTATTATTTTTTTGAAATAGTCTTAAACAACTTTATTCTCATATAGCAGCAATATAAGTAGTATGAAGATGTGACCAATGAGTAGAAAGTATTTAGTTATTCTTGTGGTCATTTTGCAGAAAACCATTGGTTCTATTGATTTCACATTACAAAACATTATTAGTTTATCGTTGACATTTATAGAAGCAAGTCTTTACTTTTTTATATCCTGTATAATAGATTCTCCAATCACCGAACTGTTGGTATATGAGAAATATTGTGTATGAAGGTTGTCAAGGATCTGATGGTTCTCGTTATCCCTTAGAGTGTTGTAGATCTCTGTAGTTGTTGCTCTATCATTACATATAGCTGCAATGTGCCACTCGAAAATTTGATAGAATCTTCTACTATCAGAGGACTTGTTTTTAAGTTTGCTTTAACCTCAGTTACTTTATTTGGAAAAGTTTTCTGAAAACTGAAAACATTATCTTATTTATAAGGACCCCTATCAATTACCACTCTAGTTAGTAAACATTATTTTATTTAATCCTCGACCTTGATAGATAATAAAAACACTTCCCTCTTTTTAGGGTTCCACGGGCCAAAAGACAAGGGGACCCTCGATCCTCTTTTCTCTTTGTAGTGGATACAGAGGCCTTAAACTGAATGCTGACTAGAGCTAGGGACCAGGACCTATTCAAAGGATTCAAAGTCAGAGAGGGTGAGAGGGCTGGGTAGGTGATTCTTTGAAGATGACACACTTTTGTTATGTGAGCCGGATCCAGGAGCTCTTCTTAATATTAGATGTGTGCTCTTTAGTTTTTAGGCTGCGTTGGGTTTCAGAATTAATCTCACAAACTCGAAACTGGTTCATCTGGGGAACAACTTGAGATCATGTAGTCTGGCTAATATCCTGGGAGGTAAAATTGTTAATCTCCCTGTGAAGTACCTGGAATTGCCTTTGGGTGTGAAGCACACATATGTCTGTCTCTACTAGGGATCTAGTTGTAGCAAGGTTTGAATCTAGACTGTCTGAGTGGATGATGAATTTGCTTTCCAGAGAGCGTAGGTTGACTCTTACCAAGAGCCAGCTAGTATTCCTATATACCATATGTCCATGTTGACAATTCCTGTTAGCGTGACAAAGAAACTGGAGTCCGTTCAATGTAAGTTCCTTTTGGGGAGAAATTGATGGGAAGAGGATATACCAACTTGTAGCTTGGGAAACGGTGAAGCAATCGTTTCAATTTGGGGAATTGGGGTTGAGATTCTTAGTTGTTTTAGTAAAGCCCTACAAGGAAAAATGGTTATAGAGATTTATGAAGGAGAGTGATAGTTTTTGGAGGAGAGTAATTGAGGCTAAATTTGGCATGGAAGACAGGGATTGGTTCATGAGAATGCCAAACAATCCTTATGGGGTTGGGATGTGGAAAGGAATTTTTATGAGAAGGGATGAGTATCAAAAATGCATTGAATGGAAGGTGGGATCAGGGAAGAGAGTTAGCTGTTGGCAAGACAGATGGTTGGATGGAGGATTGCTTAAGAATCAATTCCCAATGATTTATGGCAAAGAGGCTTCATTTAGGGATTCTTTCCAAGGCTTATCAGAGAATGGTACATGGCTAATCCTAATGATTGGGAATCTTAATGATTGGGAGTTTAGTGAGTACATATTGCTTCTCAAATTGGTATGTAAGAAAGTTCTTAAGAGGGACATGGATGAACCGATTTGGGGCTTAAACTCAAAAAGGACCTTCTCTGCAAAAATCTTTCTACTTGTGAGCAAATCCTTTGTGAGCTGATTTGGAAAGTCAAAGCCTAGCCAAGCATGGCTTTTTTTTTTTTCATGGGAAGCCTAACCGTAGATATTTTGATAAGGGGGGATAATGTTTTGGTTAATGGATGCTATTTGTGTATAGAGATGCAGAATCGCGTGACAGTATCATTTTGTAGTGTCCTTCTATGTATAGGTTGTGGTCTATCCCGTTAGCTACTTTTGGATTTTGTGGAAGGAAAGGAACAAGAGAATGTTCAAGGGTACAAGGGCAAGTTCTGATAGTCTTAAAGATTCTAGGTTCTAGACCCTAGGTTTTTTGGTTAAGGGTCATCCTCGTTATTCATGTGAGGGCCTAGGGGACTTCATTGATATTTTGATTGAATTGTAATTATTTTGTATATGAGTTTGCATCCCTTTAGTGCTTGTAAACATAATACCATTTTTACTTTGAAAAAGTTATTATTAAGAGAAAGAAGTTTGTCGACTCAGGGATGATAAAGGTGTCAGCATTAGACTGCAATCATCACCGGAACAGATCAGGAATATTTAAAATCAGTATGGATGTGTTTGATTAATCCATGTTTGGCTTTTCGCTTTAGTAGATTAGGGTGGATGTTTGGCTTGAGACTTTGTACTAGTTATTGCTAATGGGATGAACTATTTTGATACTGTTGAATGAAGTTAAAGAAGTCAAGAAGGGCACATGTGCCTGCAGCTGTGGTCAATTGCCTTGTGATCAATGCTCTGTCAATTTAAATCATTCTTGAACGTTTTCTACCTGGAGTGGATTCTAGATATGTGTATGCAGATAATTTGGGATGGACTGGAAAGGGGAAAGCGCTTATCTTGTAGCTTATTAACTGGGATGAGATAGGCATACAAAGGAAAGGATTTTCACTGGCACCTAAACCTTATTAAGGAAGTCAGATTACAATGTTGATCTATAGATATTCTCAGCTCTTATAGCTGTGAAATTTAGAGGAGTATTGTTATGTGAAGGAGATCAATCTGCAATACAATTTTTTTTTCAATAGGCATACCTTATGGGGATTTCTGCTGATTGATTTATTTAGATTTACATAATGATTTCAGTTCTGCAAGTAAAAACTAAGCAATGAAAATCGGTAGTTAATAACTCTAGATTGTTTTGTTTGGAGCCATACAGTTGAGGCCTTACATTTGACTTGAAATGGGTTAACCATTGTCAAAGTTAAACTCATGTATTAGCACCGAACAAGCAATTGGTGCCCCATATTGAGTGTGTTTTTATTCTTTATGCATGTCTATTTGTGTATAATAAGCATATAAAACACCATCTAAGTATGTTTTTGTGGTTCAATTTAGTTTCATATTCTTAATATTTGATGTCATAAAAAATTGGGCAGATTGCAGAAAACCCTTTGAGGTTTCATAAAATAGACAGACACCACCCAGACTTTGCGATTATTAGACAACCTCCTTTGTGATAAATTTTCTAACAACTTCTCAACTAGAATACCTCAAGTACGCTTCAGTCCTTATTCCTTTACCCAAGCAACCCCTTTATTTTATTCCAATTCCTATAACCGAACAACGTTATCAATGTTCCCAAACACTCATAATGCCAGTGCTAATACTATTCTATTCAGTAGTGTTGATTGCTTCTAACCACAGAAGTGATGTACACTGCTTTAAGTCTCTACTGAGCAAAGAATTTGATATACAAGGCCCTGGAATTGCAAAGAAGGTTTTTGGGAATGGAAATCTATAGAGACAGGAAGAAGAAGAAGCTTTGGGTTTCAAAGAGAAGGCATATAGAGAGGCTGTTAGTGTTGGAGAGGTTTGACATGGACAATGTGGTACCACTTTCTACCCCATCAACAAATCAGTGATCAGATTTACAGTGTCCACAGACAAATGATGACGGCAAATTGATGTCAAAGGTTTGTGGTGCTATTGTGGTTCGTCGTTTGGTGTAAGTAATCGTGTATACTAGGCCAGACTTGGCTTAAGTAGTTAGTATGGTTAGCAAGTTCATGGCTAATCCAGGTAAGGAATATTGGGAAGCCATCAAACGGGTTCTTCAGTATTTGTGGGGACATGTTGATTATCTTATTGTTTTGCACCACTTATATTGATTTGCTATGAGATATGTATATATAGATTATGCTGGAAATTTCGATAATAAAAGAATCTATCACAGGATATATGTTTATGTTAGGATCGCTCCAATAAGCTGGAGGTTGACGTTGCAAAGTGTTATCACTATGTCAACAATTGAAGTAAATCCATGGCAATAATAAAGGTTGAAAAAGAGGCTTTATGGTTGAAAGCGTTGATTTATGCAATGGCATTGATGGAGCAAATGCTTGGACTATATAATGATAGTCAAAATCCTATATATTTGCCAAAAAGTCAGGTCTATTATGCTCATACCAAGCATATATAAGTGAGGTTTCATAAAATTGAAGAATTGAAATTGTTCAGTGCTATTTCACTGTTGAAAGTGGATATGGAGGATAATACACTGATATGTTAACAAATTTGGGGGCTGGATGTTTGTGGAGGCTTGGAACTTAAACATTGTATGTTTGTGGAGGCTTGGAAGTTAAAGATTGTTCAGACTTGCTTCATGTTGTTTGTTACTAGAATAGTTTTTGAGATAGGGCTCAAAGGTAGAGGTTTGGTCTCTTTGTTTTATTTTTTTCCAAATGGGGATAAATATTTCTCTAAGTATTGCCAAGGTAAGAATTTGAGTTGCAGCTCATATTGGGAGAATTCGCAACCACAAATAGGTCTTGGTGAAGGGGTGTGGTTTCTCCCACAATAGAGTACACCATTTTCGGTCTTGGGCGGTTTTCTATCATGGAGAGATTCTTGTTAAATTGGATTTTCTTCTTCCACTACAAGTAGGAAAAACCCCACTTGGCAGAGGCGGTTATTCAATAATGAAAAATTTCATAGGTGGCTCACGGAGTTGGTACATCGCCGAACCTTGTTAAAATTCTGCTTATTTTCTTTCTCTATTGCTTTTAATTTAAGTTTTAGTCTTGCATGGGTACTTTCATGATGATGTCTTTGCGGCAGTACGCCATACACCGGATCAGTTAACCGGTCAGGTTTGTAATTCCTGGGCGTAGCATTAGTCATCTTCTTCAAAAGGGCTTGTCCTCAAATACAAAATATAGATATTGATGTATCTGTTTGGAGGCATTTTAACATGGGGTATCTTGGGAGAAAGTCCTCCCTCGTGCACCATAAGCTCATATTTGCATGCCTAGAACTGGTCTAGGATTGCTTGACAAACATCAAGAATCTTGCTCGAATGAACTATTTAGCCCCACGGAATTTTTTTAAACAAGACACATGAACGGCCTAGTAAATGTGAGCTTCCACAGGCAAATCGAATTTGTGTCTTACTTCTCCAATTTTGACTGGAATGGGAAAGGGCCAAGAATTTAGGAAGCAATTTCTTAGGTCCTTTAGCAACTAAGGACACTAGACAATAGGGTTGAAGTTTCAAGAGCCTCTTGTCCCCCCACATTGAATGTGATGTTTAGGGGGGATTGCCGTAAGACAATTTCGTGGCAGCTTGTAGCAAATAGTCCTGCTAGTAGTATGCAGATTATTTATGTGGACATTTTAGAAAATTTTCTTCATTATTTACAAAGGAATCGGGAGGCTGTCTTATCTTAAAATCATTCAACTTCTCCTCTTTTATTTTCTTTCTTTCTTTTTTGTTTATTTTTGTATTGGATACCTTATCCTCATTTTCTAATTCTTTTTCTTATTCTTATTAAACTCTTCTTTTTCCTATCCAAAACAAAACTGAAAGCACCTGCTCAGTAACCTTGCAAGATAAATCAACATGACCAATGTGATCACTATTTTGGTAATCATGATTTTATGCAGACGCAATATGCTGGAAAAAAAGTTGGCTGATGCTGAGGTCTCTGAGGAAGAACAAAGCAACTTACTGAAGCGTTTGGAGAAGAAGGAAACAGAATACATGCGTCTTCAGAGGCATAAAATGGGTGCTGATGATTTTGAGCCATTAACAATGATAGGAAAGGGTGCATTTGGAGAGGTAATGCACTTTTGCTCTATATGACTTTTCCTATTTTGACATTTTTTTTTTCCTTGCATTTTATTTCGTGTATATGTTTGCATGTACATATCACTTGTTTCTCTTAGTGCATATGGATAAAGCTGTTTAAGTGAAATATTTAACTGTTTATGGCTTGTAGAATGCGTACTTTGTGGTCTTTTTGATACACATGCTAGATAGAGAAACTCTGTGAGAAGAAATTTATTTGTTCGTCCCTTTCTTTCTCTGTTAGAGGGAAAGTTATGTAGGAGGTGAAGCCAAAACATAAAAAGGTCCATGTTTTATGTTCTCATAAACTGTTAGGCTTCAGATTGATTTATATTCGAGTTTTATGTTGTATCACAATTTTTTCTCAGCGAAGCACTTTTAGATGAAACAATGCATAAAATTTTCTTTTGGTCGTATCCCTGGGCTTTGGCATAGTTTCTGCCTGGTGTGCATGTCTGAATCCTAAAAATAATTTTGTTTGTTTACTTTGTTAATGTTCTTTTGATCCTTTTCTAATTGTATCTTTCTATCTGTAAATATATTATATTTCATTCATTTTTCCTCTTTTTCTTTAAGAAACTGAGCACCTAGCTTTTTGCCAGAGTCTGGTCTTCCGAGTTGGCAGTGCCTGAGGTCCTGAAACAGAATTGTTTACTAGAGATGCTTAGAACATCTTTGAGTTATTATTTTGGATCTCAATAATAAACAAATTTGTTGTTCTGTAATCTGATGATATAATTTTCCTTTCCTCCTCGCCAGGTTAGAGTCTGTAGGGAGAAAGCAACTGGCCATGTATATGCTATGAAGAAGCTTAAGAAATCAGAGATGCTTCGAAGAGGCCAGGTATAAAAATTAATGAGACTGCAAGACCAAATTATTGCAGTCTGTTGTTCTTTGCCCTTATTGCCTGTTTGAATTTTGATGTTCAGGTAGAACATGTGAAAGCTGAGAGGAATCTACTTGCAGAGGTTGATAGCAATTGCATTGTCAAACTATATTGTTCTTTCCAGGATGAGGAGTATCTTTACCTTATTATGGAGTATCTACCTGGTGGAGATATGATGACCTTACTAATGCGGAAGGATACGCTGACAGAAGATGAGGCCAGGTTTTATGTTGGGGAAACTGTACTTGCTATTGAGTCTATCCATAGACATAATTATATTCATAGGTCAGTTAGCATTTTTGTTTTCAACGTTCGTATGCTTTTTAGGATGGCCTACTTGTTAATATTATTTTGAACTTTCTGTATGTTCTAGAGATATCAAGCCTGATAACTTGCTGCTTGATAAAAATGGTCACATGAAGTTATCAGATTTTGGACTATGTAAACCGTTAGACTGCAGTAATCTCCAGGAAAAGGATTTTTCTGTTGGAAACAATCTCAGTGGGGCTCTTCAGAGTGATGGGCGCCCTGTGGTGCCGAAACGCACGCAGCAAGAACAACTACAGCATTGGCAGAGGAATAGGAGGATGCTTGTAAGTTCCTGCTATCATGCGCCTAACATGGTTCAAATTTCTTTGGTAGTTGTATAAATGACAAAATTGAGTCTTCCGATTCTTTTCCTATTGGTTCATGCTTTTGAGATAATTTATCACCTAATTAGTTATTTAACATATTATCAGAGTTAAGTCTTGGTTTCAAGCAGGTTCAAGCTCCAGGAGCCTAACTTCATTTTTTTTCTCCATAATTGTGCTTTCCTGTTAACCTATATTTGGCTCAGACTAGTTTGGGATTTTATTACTGTGCTAAATTTTTTATCATGTGGATCATGTTAAGATTATAAATGATAAAGTAGCACTTGTTTGTTTTTGAGATAATAGATCAACAGTCAATTTGTCTTTTGTTTTGCTTTTTTTTTTTCTGGAATAAGATCAACAGTCAATTTGTTAACATAATGGTATTATATAGGGGAAATTACGTTAGAGTCTAGATTCTGAGTTTAATCACAACTTGCTCAATGATCTTTTTGAAAAAATTATAATGATGAGGTTATGATGTTATCCCATAGCTAAAGAAATATGGAGAAGACTTAATTACGCTTTTATGTAAACATAAAAATTATCCATTTTTTTTACAGAGTCCAAACACCTTCAGTCAGACCTCTCCTCAGCCTTCTCCACTTACTATGATCACATCCTTTCTCCTCTACATATTAATTTTCAGCATCCTCGTCTTTTTCCCCTCTTCTTCCTCTTTGTTTTTCAGCCCTTGTCTTTTTCTTCCCTGCTCCATAATCAAAACTCTCTACATTTCCCCCATCTTCACCCATTTAATCTGCTGTTCCTCTTCCACCATTCTCAGTCTGCTTCTGGACTCCTTCATTTCTTTCATCCTTCCTCTCATTTTCTTCCTAAGCACTTCCTCTCTATTTTCTCTATCTTTGTCTTCATCTACTTTATCTCTATGTCAACTTTTTTTTTTTGGCTGGGTCCCTCTCAAGTTATTTTTTCATTTCTTGCAATTTCCTTTTTTTTTTTTAACGGAAACACTCTCAATTTCTTCCCCTCTCTGCCTGTCCTGATCTTCTTCACTGAAAGTGCTACCCATCCCCTGCTTGTTCCAATCTTCTTTACCCAGCTACATGCACAGATTTCATCTCACCTCAATGCATCTTTTTTTCTCTCATCACCCAAAACCACTGAACCTGACCTCTCTATTACTTGTCAACACTTTGCTTCAAACGTTGTCTTCATCTTCTTCATTTCTTTTTATCACTTCTCAACTTTCTTTTTCGCGTCTGTTGTTTATCTTTGATTTCGCTCTCTCTTCTATGTTCATAGGGTATATCGATGGCTCTAGCAGCTTCTGGTGATTTTGATGGTTATTGCATTGTTTTGGTATTTTGGTGCAGGATTTTGATATTTCTCCTGCACCTTTCTTGGCTCCTTGTGGTATTCAGGGTGATTTGTTTGACTGTATTTTTCAAATTGATGCTGCTTATGTTGATTCCTATCTTGCTTCAGCACCTAATTTTGTTATTTTTGTGGTGCTTATTTTATGCATTTTTTATCCTGGGTTTTCTCTATGCTCCTTCGATATTACAGCAACCTTAATTTGTTTAAATCATCCGCTGATGATTTTCAAGCATCACTTTGTCTTCTGTAAAATTGATCGCCTTGCTGTCCAACATTTTACTTATTAAAAACCTTTCACTATATGTTGAAATTAAGCTTCATTTGTTTGGTTTGACTTTTCTTTGACTTTTGAAGTGGTTGCACAGCTGACCTGGAGGTTAACTTAACATGTAGAAAGTAGGGATATTTTTCCAAAGCAGAAATCATTAGCTAAAATTTGTCTGTTTTATCCAAGGACTGGATTGATGTATTCACTCAAAATATAAGGATTTCAAAATAGTGGATTTAATTGTAATTAGACCTAAAACTTAGGGACTCCCATCTAATATACCCTACTATTTATCTTGTAGAGAAGGAAATTTTTCTTCAGTTCAGATTTTAATGTTGTAGGATTCGAACTTTCTGAAAGAAATCAAGATATTTAGGGACTGATGACATATATACCTTATTATTTTTCTTGCAGAGTAAGAGCTTTGTCTTTAGTGCAGATTCTAAAGTTTTGCATTAGAAATTCCTAAAAGACGTGAAAATATTTATTTCCTGGAAAAATCGCTTAAGAAGTTGTTACTAGAATTTCACAATGTCTTATATTGCTTAAAAATAACAAATATTAGTAACATTGCAGGCTTATTCCACAGTTGGAACTCCTGATTATATTGCTCCAGAAGTTTTGCTGAAGAAAGGGTATGGGATGGAATGTGATTGGTGCGTGCAGTAAAATGCTCTTTCCCCCCCTTTTCCATATTTTTGTCTTATGCAAGGATGTCTAGAGATTAAATTTTGTTGATGCCTCTCTAGGTGGTCTCTTGGCGCCATTATGTATGAAATGCTTGTGGGATATCCACCCTTTTATTCAGATGAGCCTATGTCTACATGTAGGAAGGTAATTTGGAATTTCTCATAATTTTCTTTAATTGAGTCAATATTGACCATAATGTAGTCATTGTCTCCATGTAGGAAGGTAATTTGGTACTTCTCATAATTTCTTCAATTGAGTCTATTGACTATAATATAGTAATTGGCATGTTCTTCAGCAGGTATTTGCACTTGCTATGTTTGGAAAATGAATTTCATATGTGGAATTAATTTGGAAATCAACACTTCAACTAGTAGAAGATGAAAATGTCATTCAAAATGAAAGGAAAAAATTGATGTCTTAAGAAATTTCAAGGAAACTCAGACAATGTGTTATAAATTTCACAAATTCGATAGAATTTGAAATATGAGTCATGACCTTGATTCTAACTGGATTCTGTTAAAATTTTCCTACCACCAAAGAAATTCTTGGTGATAAAGAAAATTATTTTTAGAAGATGAGACTGGATGTATTCTGAAGATTATCGAGAATCGGGTAGGAAACATTTTTCATTCTATTTGTCTAGCTTACAGGTTAGGTGGCTTTTTATTTACCTTCGTGAGTTCTGGTTAAGGAGCCACAATTCTGGGTCTCGTTCTTTCAAGAGGAAGTTCGAGTTTTTCCATTTGTTTGAAACACAATAAGAGAGTGTAGTGTTTAGAAATGAGAGAGAAGAATGAAAGAGGCTTAAGGAGGACATTGCTTTTCAAGGGCATGATTGATGGTTGGTGGAAAATGTTCTTGGCTATCTGATTTCAGTGTGGAGGAAGGGAATAAAGAAGTTCTGGGAAAACCATGTTCGTTGAAGACCAAACAGGAAGGCTCAGGTGTGCAGGTGGCTTTTGATCCAAGATCGGAGGAGGAGGCTATGGTTGACTGTCTGTTCTCTTGTCTGGCTTGCAAAATTGTTCTACAGCTAAGTTTGGAGATACACAATTCAAACGAGGGATTGTTTGCTAGGCTACCTACATTTTGCAGAAACTTTTAGTTTTGTAAGATCAGTTGACACCATGTAAAATTCAAAATGGCTTTGGTGATACAGCTAAGTACTTCAGTTGGTCTTGACATAAGTGTTTCAAGCTAGGGTTTCTAAGCTATGTCTAAAACTCAGGAACAAGAAACTGCCATGTATTCCTAAGTGTAAAGATGTTGAAGTTATCCAGAATCTTTCACTACCTTATGGTAGTTGAATGGAAGAAGGAAGCTAATGCAATAACTATCTAGTGGTGTTCTACTCAATGATGAAGTCAAAGCGCAAATTAGTCAATATGTTGATATTATCCTACACTAAGATTTTACACTCCTAAATAATTGCGTGTTTTAGTTATGTTAGTATTGGAGAGAATGATTAAGTACAAACTCTAATAAGTTTTTCAAGGGGAAGCTCGAATATCAATACTTTACATCATTTGTCATTTGGAACTTGTGAACGAGCTTTTTCCAACTATGAGAGAATGATGCAAAATGGCTCAAGGCCAACCATGAGAGGATGATGAAGAATGGTTTAAGTCTAGCTTGACTAAATATATTAAAAATTGTAAGTTTATTAAATATAAAATTCTATTATTTAGGAGTCTTTTGTTCTAGTTTTAGTAATTTTATAAGCCTTTTCTTTTTAGTATTTAGTTTTCATAGTTCTATTAGTAGTATTGTCTCCTAATTCTATGAATATTTTATTTCTTAGCTTAATACTATTTAGTGCAAATTTACTCAAGAAACAGTATAATAATCTTTGTAATTTCATTTTCTTAAGATAAATTTCACTTATTCAATAAAATATTTGGAGAGTTTATATATTTTCTGGTTGTGTGATGCTTAAGACTTCTTAGATATGATGTCTAAGAAACCCTAAGTATGACGTCAAAGTTTTTACCCTTAAATCTCTGAATAAGCAAATTAACCCGAATTTTTCCTACTATGCCACTTGATTTGTTGTTTATAAGAATTTTGTGAACTTCACTCTCCATGTTAAATGTTTTCTTTCGGGAGCTTATTTCTCCCAACATCAACCTTGACTTCAGTATTATTAAGGATTAAACCTTGTTCTTGGCTTTTTGCTATGCAGATAGTAAATTGGAGAACTCATTTGAAATTCCCAGAAGAGGCAAAGCTATCTCTGGAAGCAAAAGATCTCATCAGCAGACTTTTATGCAATGTTGAACATAGGCTCGGAACAAAAGGCGCAGATGAAATTAAGGTGTTGTGTGGTGTGTTCTGTTCTGAATTCATTGTTTCACTTTCATTGTAGAATTTCAAAATGACAAATTAACTGGTTGGTCTTGTTAAATATCAGGCTCACCCGTGGTTCAAGGGTATTGAGTGGGACAAATTATATCAAATGAAAGCTGCATTTATTCCTGAAGTCAATGATGAACTGGATACTCAAAACTTTGAAAAGTTTGAAGAGGTTGATTAATGTTTCTATTATAGTATAGATGATAACTAACTGCTCAATAGCATTTCTGTCACTTATTTCTTGATTCTGTTCTTCTAATTCTTTGTAGGCTGACAATCAAATTCAGACTTCAACAAAATCAGGTCCATGGAGAAAGGTTAGAACATGTGCCGTTTTTTTAAAGGCAAATTAACAGTTTAGCCCATAAATATGAACCTATGTTGTAATTGGTTCATAAAACTTTTTTCACTACAATTGGTCCATGTAACTTAAAAAATTGTTTCAAAATGTAAATTTTTAATGACATTTTTTGCAGAAAGAGCATACTTTCTTTTAATTCTGTTTGAGTGATACAAAAAATTACTTTGGAAAGTATAAAACTTCAATTTAATATGAACTAAGTTTAGGAATTTAAAAGAAAAAATATGAAAAAAAGGTAATTGCATGACCTTCTTTTTACTTAATGCCTATTATAATTGTTCTTATGAATTGTTCTGTTTAGTCTATTAAGGTCAATCCCAGTTGTTATTACACTCAAATTATATAAAAATAAAATATGGGCAAACAGAAATAATTTGTTTATCTAGCAAGATTTTCACAGTTGTTTAAAAAATAGCCAGATAAACAATTTCGAAGTTGAAGTATTAAGTTGTTAGAAAAGAAAAAGTTGAGATCTAATTATAACATGGTTAATAATTTAAAGGCTAAAATGGTGAAACTCCATTTATTTAATATACATTCTATCTGTCCTTCATGTCCATTAATGTTTCATGAGAAATTTCATGAAGCCAGGACATGTTCTCTTTTCTGCCCAATAAGAGCAAGTATATAAGTATACAGGTTATGAACCAACGAAAAAGTCCAAGAATAAAGACAGAAAGAAAGCATGATGAAGAACAAAAATAAAGGAACAAAAATAGAGGTCCTGCGGATCTCTAAATTGACAGCATTGGATAGCTTTCGTCCATTTTAGTAGTCTCTCTGTGTTGACAAATGTTTCTGTCTTCTTCTTGTGCAGATGCTTTCGTCCAAGGATGTAAACTTTGTGGGTTATACATACAAGAACTTCGAAATTTTGAATGATCATCAATTACCAGGAATTAGTATGCATCTATCTTCTACACACATGTTTGGTTTTTTCTTTTTGTTTCCAGGCTCAATAGTCTCCAGTCCACAACTTCCTTTATCATTATTCCAGACTGATGATAATTGCATATTTGTCATTGTTTGGTTCAATTTGTTAATTATGTTTTTCATTGTATTTAATGTCTACTATGAAAATGTTTTTTGCATTTATTAATGTATCTAGAAACTGTAAATTTCATGTTTTCTTTTCTAGTAAGTAATAAAGAAATTTTTTTCTTATCTTTTCTATTCATATTTTACTTCGAAAGCTATGTTTAGAATAAATGGATTATTCTTCTTAAATTCATTTGAAATCTATATTACTTCAACTAGAAGATGATGGTAATTATAATAGAAGGTGATAAAATTGATTTTATAGGAAATTTCAATTGGAATTGAAACATTAAACTCTAAATTCCATTAATCTGATGGAGTTTGTAATATTTCAACTTCCATTAAATTTTCTAGGATGTCGGTTTTTATCATTTTGGATGAGACTTGTAATCACATTCCATGAATGAAGTTCATTTGCTCCAAACACAGCCTCAATATCTTAAAAGACAAATTCATTGTTCATGTTATTGAACTTGAAAATTATCTTTGTATGTGACTGGTGTTTTTATGCACTCAAAATATACAGCTGAGCTGAAGAAGAAAAGCACGAAACCCAAGAGGCCCTCTATCAAGTCCCTTTTTGGTAATGTTTTTCTTTCCACCTAGTACTTACCGTTGAGAACATCTTTTCTCTGTTGGAAAGTAGCATTAAGTTGTTTCTTTTTATTGTATATAAGGCGATTTGGATTAATCGGAGCTACAATGACTCCTACTACTCTTATATCAGTTTCATTAAACACACATCTCCAAATCTATTTGTTTAATGAATTGAACAGTAAATCAATACCAAGTTTTTTTACTATATTTTGTCAAGTCTTTTGACTTAATACAATATTAGGCCACTGCAGATTTTCTAAGTTTCTAAAACAGTTACTGTTTCAAAGTAGACTTGTTTCAACTTTCACCTAATAATTGCTGAATGATACTTCCACTGATGAAAGGGCCTTGGCCATAGAAATCCTGACTTACCTTATTTCTAATAAAGTGTTGGAGGATGTTAGGAGTGGTGTTGAAAGATCATTTGGTTAAATGGGAGCTCTAATATCTATCTAAAAAGACAGTGGAATTGGTATTGGAATCTAATGCATGCCATATTATATTGGCTAGTATTAAGAAGCATTGTATATTATGTTAGAGTATGGGTTAAGTGGGTAAAAGAGTATATTAGTAATATGCACTTTCTTTGTGATGAATTGTGTTTTCCTTGTATTGCTTCAATTAATTTGTAATATGTATACGGCCTTAATACTCAATAAAATACATTCATTCTTCCACATGGTATTAGAGTTTTAGGAAGAAAACCCTTGGCCTTCCTTACAAATCCTAATTGGCCTTTGTTGTTGAAATAAGACACAAAACCCTGAAGAGTCGGTCTTTATTGCCTGCCACCACAGTCCACCCACCAGTCACCAGCACCAAGACCAGCCTTCATTGTTGGCACCAGCATCAAAACCGTGTCTCCTCCACACGGCCAAACCTACATCACGCGTAGCCAGCCGCAGCCACCTCCTGCAGTGCGTGCCATCAGCCATTGCCCCCTACAGTTGCAACCACCTACCACGCCACCATTCACGGGTCTGCCCTTTTGCTGCCACTAGCAGCACTTGCTCCTTTGCATGCTGCCACCAGCTGCATAGCCTTCTGTCTAGCTGGTAATTCCCTTCATATGACTCCTTTGTTCGTCCTTAATTGCCCTCAAAATCCTAAAACATGTCGAAGGTAACATCCCAAACTACTGGAAGAAATTCCCATATGAGAAATTTAGCACAAATTAATGATGAATATAAGTCAATCCAAGCAAGTTATCGCTTTAATGGTAAGAACTATTTAAGTTGGTCTCAAGTGCTTCAAACCATCCTAACAGGGAAAAGAAAAATCAACCACCTTCTAGGCACCGGATCAAAACCAAGAGATCCAAAGTTTGATGCATGGGATGAAAAGAACTCAACAATAATGGCTTTGCTATGGAATTATATGTTACTAGCGATAAGCAATACAGTTATGTTTCTCCCTAATGCAAAGGAAGTTTGGGACATTGTCAACGAGACCTACTCCCAGGTGAAAAATATTGCCCAGATATGTGATTTGACAGTCAACGCATGGTTTACAAAGTAGGAAAATAGGTTATTGGTTGGTTAATTACTAACTATTCTAACTTTTTAAAAAATTGGTGGGAGGAATTAAACCAGTATTTTTGTCTTACTATGAACTGCAGTACGGATGCAGCCCGCTTGCAGTAGTTTTTAGACAAAGATCGTCTTACCAATTTTCCGGCTGGTCTCAGCCCAGAATTTCATCAGGGTCCAAATCTTAGGAAATGAAGAATTTTCATTGCTAAATAAGATTATTTCTGTTGTTACTGCAAAAGAAAGCAGGAGAGTGCTCATGCTAAAAACCTGCTCCAATAATAATTCGGCCCTGATCTCCAAAAGCCTCAA